AAGACATGGACCAACAAATATACTACCTGAAAAGCCATATATCCAATATTTCAAGTACTCGAAAATTCGTGTACCCAATTTGGAAACCCTTAATTATTATCGGGGGATTTATCTTTAAACAAAAGGTGAGTTAAATTAGTGCAATTAATACTTAAGAGTTTTTAAAAAATATTTTTTATTAGTTTGAGATGAATTAATATAATATTTATTCAGACTTTTAATCATTTGATATTAAATACTTATATATCTTTGCATACATGGTGTTTGAACATAAAATCTTAAGGAAAGAACAACAATTTTTTAACTACTTATATTAGTTGGTTCATGTTTTATTACTGAAATAAATATAAGAAATTATCCCACAACTTATATTATACCTCAATTTAAGGGCTAAATTTTATTAATTTAAAATATCAAATTAAAGTCATAACAAGAGAAAAGTTGATGGTCAAATTTCAAATTTGGAAAGGTTGCAGCTCAGTGTTGGAACCTGTGGGAAGTTTAGGGACTCAACCCTGAATTATCCCATTTTTCAGCCACTGTAGAACGTGCCGCTACCCCCATTCAACTCCCCAATCGATCGGCGACCAAAATCCAAGCCTCCCCGCATCGAACAACACTGTGAATCACTATTCGAAGCATCGTCGGGAAAGACAAACTCGCCACTTTTTTCCTTCGATTTCGGCGGATCGAGACGTCGTCTCGCCTCACCGTCGTCACCAATGTGTTCCTCGGCCTGTTCTACTCAAAACTTGACCGGTGGGTCGCGTCAACGTTGCCAATTTCACCGATCGCTGTCGGGATAAGCATTCTGGCTATTTTGTTTAAAATGCTGACGAATTTGGTATATTATTGAGTGTTGAAATGGCTTGGCAGTGATGTGTAGGTACATTGGAGTAATCGGCTGACCGAACCGCCCCTTTCCAAAATTTTACGCGTTGCACGCACCGTCTGGTGCGCGTGGGGCTCGTCTCCCAGCTCTGGTTTCTTCTAGAATCGATCCAGCCGATCTGGACTAGCCCGAACCTGCCAACTAGTCTGAACCGGGTCTATTTGACTCGTCTCAGTCAACTCGTCCGAGTCAACTTGTCTGAGTCAACTTGTCCGAGTCAACCCGTTGACTTTGATCGGTCTGACAGTTGACTTTGACTTCGACAAAAAACAATTTTTTAAAAGCCCTATTTTATGTTTTTCGACGTCTTAAGTCCGATTCTAAAGTTCGTTTTGTCAAATTCGCACTTAGTAAGTCATTTCTCAGTGTTTTATCTTTGGATTCAATTTGGATTCTCAATTAAGTTCAGTTTCTGACGTAAATTCGATTGCTATGTATCCGATGAATTATTGGAAGTTGAATTCAAGTTCGAAAGTGATCAAATGAAGTTTAAATATTCAATAGGTGGAGCACAAAAATCGAGGTAATATTTTATTACATATTTGCATGTTTTATGAAACATGTTGATAATGGATAAACGCATTGATGTATATGATTGATCTATTATGTATGTTTGGTTATGGATGAAATCTAACCGAATACGGTTTAAGTGATAAATTTATTAATACTCGGTCGAATTACATAAAGGAATTGAAAGACTAATAAGAAATTATTTCAAGTGCAGTGATTAGCCTGAAATGCAAATAACCTCAGAATTATTAAATTATAACTATTTTTGTTAAAAGGTTTAATACCAGAATCGCTTGAGTATAAAATTACGAAATTTCCCCTATAGGGTAAAAAATGGCCTAGACTTACTTGAGAGCGAAAGTACTATTCTTATTTGAATAATTCAGAAAAATTGAATTAAATGGAAAGACTGGACGGAAGGAAATGACTGGAATAACCTTGAATTGTAATTTAACCAAAATGCCCTTGTACTGCAAAAAGACCATGATTACCCCTAAGAGCGAAAAATAACACTGAACATATATATATGTGACCAAATTACTAGAAAATGTACATATGTTTGGATTAATCTGAATTACCGAAATGTCTTCGAGCTACGAAATAACTAAAATAACATCCAACGTTCAAATGACCAAATACCCTGAACTCTAAAGGAACTAGAATATTTTGAAGTCTAATTTATCGGAAGTAATGCCATTGATAGAATTGAATGGAATGACGATAATACCTATAAAGCGTAAAAAGGACTATGGATGGCGATGATAATGGAGACAACCTGAAAACTTATATTTTGATTCACTTGAACCTTGGAATCATCGATTAAATTCCTGACTATTTGAAAACCCCAAAAATAAACTCCTATATTTGGAAATTATTAATACGTCAATCTCAGTGTTTTTGAATGATTATTTGAAGACTAGATTACTGGAAGTGCGACACGTCACTGAAGTATTTAAATGATGGATTATCCTCAAGTTTTGAAATAACTAACGAGTCTGACCCCGAATGACTAAAATAACCTCGAATATCGAGATGATCTAAATACATTTATGACTTGGATCAAGTGAATGTCTTTGGGTAGACAATGGAAACACTGATGAACCTAAATGATGTACTGCCTCTAAAGGTTATGGAGCACGACCCAAGTCGTCGAACCTTTTGGGATATTATTACAATGTGAAAATGAAATAAATACCAATGAAATGCATATTTGTCTCCTCAAGAACTGATCAATGATGATTTTGATATTGATTAGATCAGCTGGAGCAGTCAGTAATAAGAAGTGAATAATAGTGAAGTATCACGGTTCGAACAATTGGCAAGTATTGCAGTATTGGGATCTGTAGTTCAATCGGACTCGAAATCCTAATAATTCAATATATAATCTGGAATACCACAAATCATCGATCTATCCTTATTGAGTTAAGTTACTGGGAATTCTCCAAGAATCAAAATGTCCAAAATACTCATATTTGTCTGAATAATGGGAACATTCATATTATATATAAATCTTCAATAACTATGATGTAAAAGATTTTGAATGTCTTCCTGATTACTCAATTGCCTCCGCAAATATCTGAATATTGTATGATCTTGATAAATCACTTCTCGAATGAATGATGAATCAGTTAACTATCAAACCCCTTTATAGGGACTTTGATTCTAAAATCTTATTAAATTACAAAAGTTTCATGGTTCCCTAATTGATAAATACCAAGTAGCTCTGAAGAATATTTGCATACTCTAGTGTGTTCATTATGTGACATTTAAATTTTTTACCTATTTTAAAACGTGATTTTCCAAAATTTCAAATTTATTGATGTTTTGAATTACTTTTAAATTAACTATGGCTACATGATATGTGTCATCTGATTTTCTGTTTTCATTGAAAAATACAATCGTTCCTGATTTATGGATCATGGAATCTAATAGTTTATAAACTATTGTTACCTGAAATGTGTTATCTGATTACCTGTTTTCACTGGAAAATATAATCGTTCATGAATTATGGATCATGGAATCTACTAGTTATTACATGAATGTTTTATTAGGACACTATCTGTGTAGGCTGGAGTATGGAGGTTCAGCTCTGATCAAGCTAGTAAATTCTTACAAACCTAAGGTGACCCTTGGGTAGGCTCCGAGGCCCCGAAAAACTTTATTGGGTAGGCTCTCAGGCCCCAATGTACTCCCTTGGGTAAATCATGAGACTGCATATGGTGTACGGGTGGAGGGCAATTATGTGATTTATTTCATGGTCACTCTTACGAGATTTTACTAGATCACGATCCTGATATTATTATTTACTGTTAAATTTGATTTCTACTGGATACTTCATGGGTAGGACTCTAGAGTATGGAGGTTCAACTCTGATCAAGCTGGTAAATCCTTACGGACCTAAGGAGATCCTTGGGTAGACCCATATGCCCTAAGGTACTCCCTTAGGGTGGCTCCTTTGATGTGTGCTTAGGGTAAGTCCTTATGGATGCAGTTCTGAGGAACTGCAAACGGTGTTCGATTGGAGGGTATTATGTGTTTTTAAAAATATGTTTTGAACTATAAACGTTTTAAAGGATTTATATATGTTACTCTGTTTTGTTGAAACACACTAGACATCCTATTCTGATCTCATGAACTTGGTCCTTTGAATGTTTCTTATAAACTGAAATCTTCATATCTTTTACTCAAAGAAATATAAGTGGAACCTCAGCTCAAACTGAAAACCTGTAGACATCTGAATAAAAAAGGAAAATTATGCTTTTCCATTTATCTACATGTCCTTCAGCATCACTTGGTAGTTTTGTATTACTGAGCTTTTCAAAGCTCACTATTTTACTCATCGTTTCAGGTTAAAAGAATTAATCCAGTTCAACTATCGACATCTGCAAAGGGGAGTTCCTTTGGCTTGGAATGCAGAGTATTATACAAGTGTAATTAGAGGGGCATGTAGGTAACATTTGATTTTTTTTATACTGAGTATGAACATGTATGGTTTTAATTTTGTCTATAATATATTAATAGTTTTTCGAACTTGTAATTTTTATAAATTATTTTATGATTTTACACGTTTTAACAAAAAAATTAATTTTTTCGGGATTTTTACGGTGAGTCGCTTCAGTGACCCTAATGTGACACCTCGGATCGGATCGAATCACCCGCATGGTGTTACAACTTAACTGTATAAGTAGGGTAAAAAAACCCCAAAAGTCCGCACTGCCACTAAGGTCCAATAGATTAAGCATAACTGTTCTTACAAGACAGACTTGTTCTTGTAGTGTACAATCGGAGACAAAAATGCCCTGTTGCACTAAACTGTGAAGGTAATGAAAATGATTCCACTTTCATGCGCACTAAATAATGGAAGTGCACACCAACCTCATATGACATTGGCCTGCTTTTTTCTTTTTAGATTCAATTGATCTCGAGTTATTGTAGATTCGGTTCGTATCAATTTATAAGGTTAATGTTAACTACCATAATAAAATAAGTAATTCATTCTCTATGTTATCTTTGACTTATAATTATTATTATAAGATATCGATAATCGAAAATAAAATGATGATAATTTAATTTTTTTACATAAAACTCTCATCACCCATTTTGCTAAAAGAAACCTAACCATAAACTTCAACATACACACCAAAAGAAAAAATGGTCGATAAGAAGCAACCTAAATCATATTCATAGTTAGAACTTGGAAAATCCAAGGAGCCTGTCCCAGTCTCTCTTTTCTCAATTGTTCTCCAAGATCAGCATTGCTTTCACTTCCGTGTCGATACCCCGTTGTCATGTGACATGGTTCAATGGAGGGCGAGGAGAAGGTCAGTCCGGAATCCGACGTTCGAGGGGGAGTCGATATCTCATGTTGTTTCTTTGCCGGTGGCCCTAACGTTAGTTCGATGTTGCTTTCGTCGATGACTTCTAGCATTTCATTACCGTGATGATTGTTGGCCAGATGTTCCAAATCGAGTTGTCTTTTTCCGTTAGGCCTGCTCTTTTCGATGCTTTTCATCAGTGCCTTCTGGATTCGATACAGACGATGGAGTTCGTACACCTAAAGACATTACTTCAAGCTTAACAAACGAGCATATTATATACACATAAAAAAATATGTATATTATATGTACTTGTTCTTTGAATGTTTCTTCATGTTTTAACATTGCCATCCTCATGGACTCCTTGTCATACTGCCTAAAAAGCTTCTCCATTGGAGTCCGATGTAGTTTGCCTGTAAAATATTCAATTCACCTGCAAATTTACTAAAATTATATGAAAAGTTAATATTTCTAACACAAATAGTATGAAAAGGAACCATATATGAATACATAGAGGAATTCTCTCACACTAGTATAAAATTAGGTAAGTTGTATACACTTTCATAAGTTCTCTAAGATTGATATTTTAATAATTCAGTTGTTAAATTTATTAATACAATTTATACTTGTTATACATGTAAAATTTTAAATTAAAATGGCATCTCCGTCATGTTGATTTAAAGTGATATATATATATATATATATATATTATTTAACCATTGATATTTAATATATCAATCGATTAATTCAAATAGAGTATAATAAAATTTTATCATGCGACGATTTTCCAAATTCAATTTTTCTTCGTTCACTACACATGATCTACATAAATAAATAGTTATATATTCTTCATTTACTCAACAATTGACACGCATGATCCACGTAAATATGACATAAATTTTAATGATTGGATCATTAAAATACTCCTGCCAATCATAATTTTTTTTACTGAAGTATATAAAACTTATTTTATTTTATACCAATGTAAGTAATCTCTCTCTCTTTCTCTCTCTCTCTCTATATAATAAACTATGTATTTAGTCACCCATTATCACTTTGGTACAGTTATAGTCGCTCAATTATTTTAAAAAAAATTATAATTAACGTTATATTTTAATTTTATTTTAGTCACATATTATTAAAAAATAAATAAAACTGTTAACGTTACAATTTCTTTTAGTAATAATATGACATTACTTTATGGTGACATATCAACGTCATGTTAATTTTTTAAAGGAGTGACCAAACCTAACTTTAAGTATGATTTAAAAAAAAAAATTAGAATACTAAAACAAAAATAAAGGGATGGTTAGATGCTCAAATACGTAGTTTATATATATATATATATAACTCATTCAATGCATCTTAATTTCCCACATGATCCCCTGGACCCATAGTATACTATTCATGGTTTTCCTTTCATACTATTTGTTTAGCTTAGGGATTAAACAATATACTTTTATATATTTTCCTATTATCAAAGGATTTTCCTTATATTCTTAACTTGACAGGAGAGCTTACAATATAATCTTAGTTTAGATTATTAAATAAATACATAAAAACATGTATGGTTCACACAAAAAGAAAATATTCATGGCAAATACATTATATATATGTATATATATATTGTGTGTGTGTGTGAAATTTAGTTTAAGAAATATCCAAATTGAAATGGAAAGTTTTGAATTTGCACACTTTTAACACTTTATAATTAATAAAGCCGGAGAAGAGAAGAGAGGAGAAGAGAAGAGAAGAGAAGAGTAGTGAGGAAATTTATTATTTAACAAGACAAAAGATCACGCTGACATGAATTTAAGCTGGTAATTATGTATATTACTATTGGATCATCATCATACATTTTGAATGGGAATTCTTTTGAAGAATTAGTGGAGATCAATGAATCTGTTAGATCTCAAAAGACTGGTGGAAAAAACATAAACACACACACATATATATATATATAATATTGAACGTGTAAGCTATCAAAATCAAGCTGCATATATATATATGTGTGTGTGTGTTTTTATTTTCTTTCTTGAAATGAATCCATGCTTGGAGAGAAAGATCATACTCTAACCTGTTTGAGATTCTTCAAGAGCTAATGCTTCAGAAGATTAGGTGTTGGTCTCGAACTCTCGATTTCAAGCAGATAAGAGACGGAAAAAATTTATCCGTTTGAGGTCCGACTCGGTTCAACTCCGAATTAGTCGGTGTCTAATGTGACTATCGAATACCGAAACGTGCTATGGATCAGAGAAACAATTTAGAAGATGAGAGCAAAGCCTGATTTGACAGACAAAGAAGATGGTGTACGTTGCAGAGAGGTTTGGAATACAACTACATAAACCAAAGCTCAAAGGATGAGGAAGAATTTAAGGATGAGCAAGCGATGCAATTTATATAGTATTGCTGGATATCTTTAAATCTTTGTCAAACATAAACACGTATTTGATTGTTGGACAAATAGAATATAGTTATTTTATTTAAATAATATATTATTTTTATTAAAACATATAATATAAAATAATATAAACAACAACAAAAAAACCCATTTCTCATATGTAATGGAGTAAGGGAGAGGTAGGGTAGTAGACTGCCCCAACTTCAGATTGAATGCAGCTTTCGTGGAAGATCTCCGACAATTAGAAAATTAAAAATAAAGATAAAGTATAATGCATGTATAAATAAATAAATAAATATATAGTTGAAGAGTCTTTTTATGCAGTTTTCATATGCACGATTGTAATGGAAAATTTTCCGGATTAGTTTATTTTAATTTAGGGAGAATTTGATATGTACAATATAAATAAAAAAAATAGAGCAACTTTTCTGTTGGCATCGGTAATAGCATCTTTCCCATGGTATAGAAAATTGAAGGGAGCAGTGGATAAGAATTATTGGATTCCCTGGAAGAAGATGGGCCCATCACAATGATTATAGGCCGTTAATTGCCCATGTTAGGAGGGTTGTTGGCAAATCAATCAAAGCATCACACGGTCCGATAAGTGGACCCCCTAATATTCCCATTAAAAATATCAAAATAAAAATGAAGCACATTTACTCATTTAATAAATCCCAAAAAAAAAATTCATGTTTCGGAAGAGTCTAAAATATAATCTATTAATATAGGTTCAAAAAATAACAATAATTGATTGTAATTATTTTTTTAAAATATATTTTTTAAATTAAAATAATAATATTTTAGGTTGAAACTGAAATATTATTTTCTTCATAATAAATTATATAACTGTTTTTGATTATAACCTAACAATTATAGTCAATACATATTTTATTATAATTGAAATTATTATTAATTACATAATTTTTAAGTTGAATATATAATATTTTAGATTGAAAATTATCTGAATATAATTTTTTTTATTTATAGCTAAAATGATTATAAATTATAATTATTTTTAGATTGGACACACAATGATCTACCCTCCATGCCCCATTGTTATGATGACACGGCAGAGAATGATCACATCATCAGATGCATACCGGGAAAATGTTGAATTATTACTACGAGAGAGTTGGACTTTAATAAACAATATAAAAAATGGAGAGTGACAAGAAAGCACGCGTTGCCGGTGACAGGAGGAGCAACCGTATGGGGCGGTGGGTCCATTGGGTGGTTGTTGAAAAAGCTGAAACAAAGGCTTTGGATTGCCATTTGACCCCCACCTGCGAAATTCTCAGAAACCATTGATTACTCCTGTGGGAAGAAAAGGTCAGATAAAACAAGACAGTAGTCAAACATTTCAGAAGATTTTACAACCTAACTTTATTTATTATTTACCAGGATTTATATTTTCCTGTTGGATTCATAGAGGATTTCAAAGCATGAGTGTTTCAGGAATCTGATTGCTGCCATTTCTCTGTTTCTTGAATACTGCCTGCATCTTTTACTCCTTTTTCTCTTGGGGCAGTCAGAAAGCCCTTTAAAGTTGAAAAACCAATGTAGTGTTAGATTTTGTGTTCAGTTAGAGGAAATGTATGTTACATAAAAAAGTATAAAAATTAGAAGATGGTATAGATTAATTAGGGAAATATAAATTTTTTATAGTGAAAATAAAATCATTGGTAGCTGAAACAAAGTTGTTAGTAGGGATAATAATTTAATTTGAAATTAATGAATTTTGACTTGATCTAATTAGATTTGACCCGACTTGAAAGTAATAAAATAATTCTTCATATAATAATTGATATAATACCCTCTTTATATATAGATTTTTAAGTTAATTCCTTATTTTATGCCAGGTTAGATTAGGTCAAGTTTATACTCTAAAAAAATCAGGTTGGAACGGATTCATGCGGAAGGTATACTTTTCAAATGTACTTTTTTATACTTCTGTAATGTGATGGAAAAGCATTCAAGCCTAAGCCGAATCCCGTTGAAATCAGTCAAATATCGTCAACGGTTCAACCGGGAAACATTAATCCTTAAAACCTAATGAACATAAGAGGATGTAGGTGAGTAACATGAAACTTATCCTAAGAAGTTCCCTAATGTCCTCCAACCAAAAAATTTCCGGTCCTGCTTACAAGCATATGATCTACTCAGTAATATATCGACAGCGTTCGATGATGTTGGAGCGACGGGCATGGAACACCAACAGACCAGAGCCAAAGATCTAACTCCACACTCAGAACCTGAAAATCGCAACAAAGAGGGACTACATGATTCATTTGAAGGAATGGAAACCTTTTTTGATACTGTTTTTACACAGCGAGATCTCGTAAACCGACATTAAGATTTAGCATTCGGGCATGTTTAAAGAATTCGGATCTACCTGCTTTCCGGACTTTATGCTTAGTAACTCTCTCATTTTCTCCACGGCATAAATCGAACATGCTCGAAGTTCGATTTCCTCTTCCGTGCCAGCAACTATTATGCTACTAGCCTGAATGGCATTCGCAAGGGTCGAACTATATTTCAGCACACCGAACTGCTGGAGGACAGCAGGAACAATATAGTCCGCAAACATAGTGATCGAGCAAATGTCATTGAATTCTCCATATCCTTGGCCCTTGAATGCACCCCACAAGTCAGCAGCAAATATCTGTGCTCTTTTGTACAAGAATACCTGGTGCCCTTTGTACACCTAATGATCTCGAAACCCTGCAATATATTCATCATACACAGAATAAACTCTTCCATTCTTCGGCATGATAAATTTCCGGTTAATTATATCCGAGTGTTTCGAAAATGTACCTGGGAAATGACGTGTGACGAGCGCAACAAGCTTCGCAGCTGATTTTCCACAGGATTCAACAAGTTTCGATGCCCTACCCTCAAAGCTTCTTTCAAGTTCAATTCCAACCTAAACCACGATGATAAACGAAATCAAACAACTTATTGCAAGGTAGAATAAACCGGTTAACAAGGCAATACCATCCATACTATCTATGGAATTCGAATTCTAAAACGAGACAAAACCTGCAGTGATTAGTAAAATATACTACACCTCATGCAACAAATGAACCCGCTCCTCCTCTAAAGGAAGTTGTCGAGGCCATTTCAATAGCTCGCACAGTTCAGGACCTGAAAACAAAGATCAGTTCATCATTTCCTATCGATATGAAGAGCCAATGAAATGAGGGTGAAGGTTATGATGGTGCCAAAAACATAAACATGGTCACTTATTGATATAAGAACATGTCAATAGAGATACATAAATGAATGTGTCCGAGCATGTGTTTTCTAATGTCCGAGAGCAAAAGACCGGAAGTTCGAGACAGAATTACCTGTGTATTTTTGCAGACGATCGGCATCGAATGCAGAGTTGTCATTCAGCAAAGCCTCCTTTAATCCCTTGGCCAAATGATCATAATTCAAATCCTTATCTATCAAGAGTAACACCAACACATAAGGAGAAAATGTAAGGTTAGAGCCCTAAAACTCATTAATGCCAATAACAAATGTTTTGCTAATCATTAATCCCTTAAAGACAATTGAAGAGAATTCCTTTTTGCAGAGACAGATTACAACAAGTCAGAACACAATCATTAATCATAATCCACAATTTTAGCATTCAATAATATCAATAAATTCAAATTAATCCCTGGGATTTCAAAGATGTCTCAGAACTATTCACCACTAACAACAAAAACAAAATCATAATGATTAAAAAACAAAGACGACCAACCAAAAAAAAGTAAACTTTATTGTTTCTACATTTTCAAAAAAGAAAAACCCAGAAAGGGGTTTAGTATGTCAAAATATAAAAAACAGATAAAAAGGAAGATACCAGGCCAAAAACAGAAATTCAAAGCATCCAAAACAAAAAGGTATTGCACAGTGAGGGGTCCATTGTCAAAATAATGAATCCCTTCGTAATCCCACTCTACTTTGGGAATCGACTCTTTCATTTTCTCCACTACTTTCTCAATCCCTGCACTCCCCAAAAAAAAAACCCACAATCATATTCTTTTAAAGTAGAAAAAAGCCCACATTCTCAATAAAAAAAAAACAGAGGAATATGTGTATATATAGATAGAGAGAAGAACCTGAAGAATCAATGGTGACGTGAGAAGAATTACGCGCCACCCAAGCAGAGCTTTCTCTCACTTCCTCCATAGCCGCTGAAAGAACAAGAAGAAAAACGTTTCCTTTGAACAACCCTAGAGAAACCAAGATTTTGAAAGCCAAAAAGAGAAGATATTTAGTATATATAATGGTCATTTTTTTTTTTTTGAAGGTGCTAGACACTAGCACACTTGAAGCCAGGTTTTACGAGCCATTTGTTTGCGTTAATTCAAGTTTTTCCCGCTTTTTTCTGTTTGTTGGGCGATGGTCTGACACTAACCATATCTTGCTCGGGTTTTGGTCCCATGGGGACAAAAGGGTTCGGTGGGTTCGGTGTACTCGAGCACGGAGGTTGGATGGCTGGCTGGACCTGGACCTGGACCACCACCGAGAGACTGGCCCATTTCTCACGTGATTGAGAACAGTGAATGGGTTCGGTTTGGTCACGTTTGTTTACTATATAAAGGTAATGTAAATGGGGTTGGTTGACAGTGCTGTCTGGTGGAAGAAAGATCGAGAGGCTAACCCTTTTTGACGAAAGGTTGGACCAATACTGCCGACAACGCATTGGTTGGTTCGAACATGAAATTTGTGCTTTTGGTGTTTTAATGCTCTTGCTCCCGCCATTACCACATTCGCATTCGGTGTCACATTCGAATAGGTTGGTTCCATTTATGAAAATATTAAGGTAGACTACCGAATTGATATTTTTACTCATCAAATCAAAAAAAATAATTGGATCAATTAGATTGTTGTTTTATTAAATTATTGATTGTTATATTTTGATCATTAAGTTGTTAACTTTAGTTATTTTGATGATCTGACACGATAGTAAAAAAGGATTAATTTTTAGTTTGACTATTGAACTTCATATATAATATTATTTTGACTCTAATTTTAGATGAAATATCATTTGACCATTAAATTTTAGATTAAATATCAATTTGACCCCTGAATTTGACCAAAGTTTTCCATCATTGGCCGTCGTTGTTGATCACCGTCGGTCGTCATCTACTACCGATAAGTAAATCATTAAGTTGTTTGTACTTACTATTATGTATCATGTAAAAATATATCTATCAAGGGCACCAAAGGGCAATCATGCCGAGGGAGAGCGTTAGAGAAATAGAGTCATTGGCGCTAGAGAAAAAACAGTCATCCCTGTCAACTATCAAGGGCATCGAAGTGAAAACAAGCACTCCAAAGAACAAACAAGGGCTTGAATAAGATTTTATGATGTGTCATTGTATCTAACTAGTTCTATAATGTCTACGTGACCCATAAAATAGATAGAGTTATGTAAACTAAAATTTATATAGTCTGTGTATTATACAATTTTTAAATAATAAATTAAAAATAAATGTTTCAAAAAATAAAATAAATAAATTGAAACTATAAATAAATATTCAGGACTGAGAATGGAATATGATTCTATAAACATGGGGGGTGGAAATAAGAAAGTTCATGTCTGGCAAATGACATATACAAGCATATGACACTTACCCAAATACAAGTAAATCAATAACAAATACAAAAATATAAGAACCAACCTACTGCTTAGCCTATAAAAACCAAAATATTTAAGAAAAAAAAAGAACTTGATCATAGAGATTCTTGATCACAAACTCTCTATTTACCATTTTAATGGAAAGAAACTCAGGCAAATTGTCAACAAAGAAGAAAATATAAGAGCAAAAGGTTCATAGTCACTAGGGAGTCTTACACCACGAGGGGCATTTAAAGGTTTTGTTGATGTTCTTCACAAACCAACATATCTGCCATTTTTTTTTGTAGGGTTCACACCGGAACCATCTTTAAACCGGCAGCGATCGGCATGCCTAGGAACCCGATGAGGACACTTACGCACCACTGTGTACAAGTGAGCGGCGTTGTGCTAGCAAATGCACCCAGAAATTCAATGATGAGTACTTGGAAAACTGCGGTGCAGCCAAGAACAGCCACGAAAACGTAATTATTTAATATGCCGCTGAAAACATCTATTTCCTCCATATTTCGTGAGCTTATCTCGTTGAAAACCTGTGGGGGAAAGAAAAATGAACTAAATAAAACAGGGCAAGCTAAAGATCAAGCAACTCGTATATTTTACCAAGTAAACGAGCCTAAACAAATGTGTTCAAACAGTTTGATCTTTATCTCGAAATGAACTCGAGCTTTAAAAATAAAACTAGATCGAGTTCCAGCCGAACTTCTAGCTTCTGTCTCTGATTATACCTCCAACGCCTTCTAGCAATTGTGTGATAGTATATATTGAAGAGTATGAAGGAGTTCTTGATAAAAAGGTTTACCTGACAGAAGACAAATGAATTGAAAATAAGTGTGTTCAATATCAGGGTAGAATCAGGGCCGTCGAGATTAAACAATGCTTTTCCTTTTGCCTGAAGACACCATATTACCACTAACTGATAGAAAGATTGCCCAAAGATGTTCCTCCACATGACGTTACTGATAAAATTTCCTTTCCTTCCCACCGGTGAGCGCTTCATTAGTTCATCGGTTGGTGGCTCAGTTGCAAGTGCAAGTGCTCCCAAGGTATCCATAATCATGTTCACCCACAGTAGCTGAACAGCCGTCAGAGGAGCGCTCCCTGCAGCATAAGAAAATATGTTGTTCAGACTTTTTCCATTTTTTTATATGGTAGGAGACGGGCGGAATCAGATAATTTAAGTTCGATACGCGTACGAGTAAAAAATTATCATCATTCACAAAGAAAGTTGGAGCATAAGTTTGAAATATGAGTAGGCAAATATATCACTTTCTAACCTGTCAAACATGCTGAGGAGAAGTTAACAATTAAGGCAACAATGTTGACAGTCAGTTGAAATTGCACAAATTTTTGAATATTTATGTATACTGAACGGCCCCATTTGGCCACTGTCAAAATTGTCGTGAAATTGTCATCCAGAATTATGACATCAGCACTCTCCTTGGCCACCTGGAATTAAAAGCAAGATTAGTTAGATCTTCTTCATTTGATTGGTACAAGATGCATGCACAATGTGAAAATACTAATGCATTGCTGACCTCAGTTCCAGCAATTCCCATTGCTAAGCCGATATCTGCTTCATGTAGGGCTGGGGCATCATTCGTTCCATCACCAGTCACTGCAACAACTTCATCGAACGTAGTTCGTAATTGCTTCACCAGAGTATGCTTGTCCATAGGAGAAGATCGAGCTATCACCTGCAAAAGAAAAGAACATTGAGGTATATAAATACATGATTTATCCTTGTTACAAGCACCTGACTGGTATGTGAAGCACAGAATAATAATGTGGAGGATACCTGAATCTTAGGAATTAAATTAAGCATTTCTTCCTGCGTCTTCTCTCTGAAATCCGGACCTTCAATGGCTACACCATCATCTGTAAGAATTCCACATTCCCTGGCTATGGCCTTTGCAGTGTTTATGTTGTCTCCGGTAACCATTCTTACAGTAATGCCGGCGGTACGACAAGTAGCAACAGATTCTTTGACACCAGGGCGAACAGGATCTTTAATGCCCACGATTCCTAAACAAATATACCCGGAAACTGGGATAGCACTGTCAGGGGAAAAACCTTTGTCAAGTTCCATATAGCCAAGGCACAGGGTTCGAAGAGCCTCATTAGCGAACTGATTTATTATACCATTGAGGTGGTTCATGGATTTTTCATCCAAGGGAACAACGTGTCCATTAGAATTGATCACCTTGTCACATCCAGCCAAAACTATCTCCGAAGCTCCTTTAGTATGTGCTCGTAATGATGCTCCAGGAAGCTCCAGCACTACACCCATTCTTTTCTTTGTAGAGTTGAATGGCTCAACCTTAACAGTTTTTGTTGCTTGTCGTTCTGCTTGGGGATCTCCACCTAGAGCCAAGCCAAGCTCTAATAAAGCAGTCTCTGTGGGAGTTCCCAATATCTCACGTTTTCCGTCTTTGCCGATAACAATTTCACCTCCAGAGTTCAGAAAAATTGATTGTAGAAGAAGTTTTACAGCAGATTCTGGAATTTCAGAGCAGAAAGAAGCTTTATCGATGTTACTTACTTCCTTGACATTCATGCAAATGCATGATTTCACGACGGTCATGCGATTAGTGGTTAGTGTCCCAGTTTTATCGCTGCAAATACTCGTTGCTGACCCCATAGTCTCGCAAGCTGCAAGGTGTCGAACTAGTGCTTTATCATTCATCATCTTCTTCATGGCAAAAGCAAGGCTCAGAGTCACTGCCAATGGTAGACCCTCTGGAACTGCAACAACAACAATTGTCACTGCAACAGCAAAGAACTCCAGCAGTTTCAGTAACTCGTCGCCAGACCAGTTCCAGATAGTCCCTTCTTGCACTTTACTCACTACCAGTCCTTGAATCATTACAGAAAAAGTCACTACAGCAAAAAACAGACCTACCTTCCCTATAATGGTTGCTACTCCATTCAATTTCACCTGCAGTGGTGTCTCATCATCTCCCCCTTCACTGAGGGTTGCCATCAGTTTACCCCATTGAGTTCTCATCCCAACAGTGGTAACCAGCATCTTGCATGATCCATCTTGAAGCTTAGTACCAGAAAGCATAAAAGGGTTTGTATCATGCACAAATACCGGCTCACTCTCCCCTGTTAAACTTGATTCATCGATTAGCACGGAAAAACCCGATACGAAAAGGCCATCAGCAGGGACTTGATCACCAATATTAAGGTGTACAATATCACCAGGAAGCAAATCATATATGGACATTTTCTGTCTACAATCATTTCTTGTTACCTGAATGGTGATTTTCTTTTTCTCCTTGTCCAAATCCTTGAACTGCAGAGATTGGCGATAATCGCTCATCGCCGTGACGAATACAACCAATAAGATACTTGCGACGATCCCAAGTCCATCATGAGCTCCGTCCGGCCAACCTTCCATTGCTATTCCTACGGCCAACGACACAATAGCGCACACCCCGAGGATCATAAGGGTCATATCCTCAAGAGCTTCCCAGACAAATACCCAGAATCCCTTAGCGTCGGCCTCAGCAAACTTATTGATTCCATAAATCGCTTGCCTTTTATTCAACAAACCGGTATCAGCAGTTAGTCCTTTGGCTGTTGATGTGGAGAGCTTTTCAGCAATGCCCTCTACTCCACCATGAAACTTTAGTTTCTTCACATCATGGCCTTCCACAATGGATCCTAACTCATCAGCACAAAGTTGAAAACCAGCAGCTTTGACTGCTTCAGGAACAACATAATCACTAGGCTGTACACCTGCAAAAGAAATATTCAATTATATATAAAAGGCTTAACAAAGTTGAATTTGCAGCAAAATATCTCACCAGAGATAAACTGAAAAGCAGCTTTTGAAACCAGTACAGCAATTCTCAATTTTTCCTGCAATTTCACATGATAATAAAATATAGCAATATCTACAATACTATATTTGAACCGCGAAACCAATTGATAAAACTGAAAATTTCTTTAAAAAAATAATTTCATAGATATTAAATAACAACAACGAAAATGAAACCGGGTTAAAAAGGGGAGGGGACCTGATTGGTGCGACGCATTGCAGCAGCCTCGTAACGTTTGGAGAGGTTGGCAGTGAATCGAAAGCGCCGTTTGGGATTCTTGACGAAACCACAAACTTGCCTCCATTTTTCCAAGGCTTCTTCTGAAGCATGTTTGGATTTGACGTCGAAGTTACTCAAATAACTATCCATTTCGTCGCGGAAACTGATTTCTGAGCTTCAATCAAATATATGAAGATAAAATTAGGAAGAAATACGAGTCTTCAAACCAAGAGAGGGGAATTCCCGAAATTTGATGCAGTTTAGTAGAGTGTTTGAACCGGTATTTTCTTTGCTTTCTTTCTCCTACTATTTTGCACCATTTCTTTCTTCTCCCTTTCGAGTTACTCACCCATTTCATTATATTGTCCAACGTAAACTCGTGTTTTTTATTTGGACCCTTTACCTTACGTTTTAAAAGCATGCTTTGTTTTTTATATTTTCATTTACAATTTCCTTCTTTTTAAATGTCTCAAAATTAGACAATTTTGATTTATTAATTTATTATATTTTAAATTACTTTCGTCTTTTTTTTTGGATTATTAAGGGTAAGTAATATTTGATCTAAAGATTATTAATCATTTGATAATAAAAACTCAAACATTCTTACAATCTTATAAAAGTAACGATCATTCCTACAGTTATTTCTTTCGTCATAAAATAGAAAACATCACATTTAGAAACAAGGAAATATCATATATGCTTCTCTTCGTATTGGTAAGAAATGACTTGGTTAAGCCCAAAAATACCAAACTACTCTTCTGATCATTTAATTATTACTCATTTTTGTTTTGACCATTGATTTTAAAATTTTGTTAACCAAGTCATTTAATTATTTAATTATATCAATCATATCATCAACCGTTAATATTTGATAAAGATGTGATACGAGAACTAAAAAGTCAATATTGTAAATTAATTCGTCCAGATGAAACTTTTAATTTTAATTCGTCTTGATAGAGCTTAAAATTTCTGCCCGTGGAAAGGACACTCCACTACTCTCCTCAACTACAACTCTGAAAAATTCAAATCAATTCTGCCCGTCCAGATGAAACTTTTAATTTTAATTCGTCTTGATAGAGCTTAAAATTTGAGCATGGAATCAATCCTAATTGTTCAACAAAACTCAATCAATTCCATCTCGAATTGAGCCCAAACTTTGAAAACAAAAACTCACTCTAGCTTCCCAGATTAATCTAAAATCACAAACACAAATACAGTAAAAGAAACAACCACCACCATATTAAGAATTGCAACATTTAGAATTATCATGTCTACAAAATCCCAGATTCCATCCATATTACTGGTTCATAACATTAGAGGGGAAAAACCCAATAAAACTAAAGTTCAAACAGTTGCAAAACATATAATTGAAAGCTAAAAAGACAACCTTAATCGACGCTCTGCATGATATCCTCGGCCGAAAACTTAGTCCCCTTATCTTTATCAGCTGCGGAGCGTCCCTTGGCTTTACGATCCAGCAATGACTTCCGATCCTTGTCGAGTCTGAGCTTGGTGATGACAACCTTCGATGGGTTGATTCCGACGTTGACGGTGGAACCGTTCACCTTCTCCCGGGTGATGCGCTCGATGTGGATCACCCATTTGCGACGGTAGACTTGAACGACTTTCCCTTCGCGTCCTTTGTAGGTCCCACGAACGACTTGGACCTCGTCGTCCTTGCGGACCGGCATGGACCGGACGTTGTACTTGGACCTCAGATCGGATGAGAGCGGCGCGCTCATGAGCACGCGGCGGACGGACGAGGGAGCCGTAAAATGGGCCTTGCGGCTCTTGCGGCGTGAGGAGGAGACTCGTGGGTTGTACTTCATTGTTGAGGCGGCGGGATGGCGACTGTTCCTCTTCGACTCGGCGGCGGAAAGTGAACAAAGAGCGGGAATAGGTTTTGGGAAGAATATAAGGTTGCAGAGTGGGGAAAACTAGGGTTTGCTTGGGGATGTGTGGATCTGGGTCTTATGATTCTAAATGGTTACCGAGTCATATCTTAGTTTTTATTGGTAAATTACGTATTTAGTCACCTAATTATTGTTTTAATTTTATTTTGATTACTTAACTATTTTTTAATCATATTTAACGTTATATTTTGGTCACCTGTTGTTTAAAAATAAATATAAATTTTGACATGATAAGTTTTTTTCAATTATGATTTGGCATTGTCTTATGGTGACACATCAACATCACTGTTAATTTTTTAACGGTGGGTGATCAAAATGAAACCAAAACATAACTTTAAGTATAATTTTTAAAAAATTATAACTGAGTGATTAAACTAGAACTAAAGTAATAATTGGGTGGTTAACTACGTAATTTACCCTTTTATATTTTGAATTATAAGAAAATAAACCTATTTCTAAGTAGGGATGAAACAAAATTAACTCTCCACGTTTATTAAAATACTTATTTTGATCCATATCTCTTTAGACTATATTAATTTTAACAATTTATTTATTTTTAATCAAAATAGGTCACATTAAATGAAAATTACAAATTGATTAAAAGTTGATATATATTATTAATATTATAGTTTATTCATATACTCAATTAATAACGTGGCATATATAAAGTAACCCAATATAATAATTTACGGTAAATAATCTAATATGATAATGTGTTTGTAAAGACCCGTTTTGGTCACCTGTTGTTTAAAAATAAATATATATTTTGACATGATAAGTTTTTTTTCAATTATGATTTGGCATTGTCTTGACACGTCAACATCACTGTTAATTTTTTAACGGTGGATGATCAAAATGAAACCAAACATAACTTTAAGTTTAATTTTTAAAAAATTATAACTGAGTGACCAAACTAGAACTAAAGTAATAATTGGGTGATTAACTACGTATTTTACCCTTTTATATTTTCAATTATAAGAAAATAAACCTATTTCTAATTAGGGATGAAACAAAATTAACTCTTCACGTTTATTAAAATACTTGTTTTGATCCATATCTATTTAGACTATATTAATTTTAACAATTTATTTATTTTTAATCAAAATATGTCACATTAAATGAAAATCACAAATTGATTAAAAGTTGATATATATTATTAATATGATAGTTTATTCATATACTCAATTAATAACGTGACATATATAAAGTAGCCCAATATAATAATTTACGGTAAATAATCTAATATGATAATGTTTTTGTAAAGACCTATTTTTTTCCGGGTTAAAAATATTATTATTATTATTATTATTACATCTTGCAAGCTTAATTTGCAGTCCAGATTACAAGCCCAATGCTCCAACCCAACTGCCCGAACCAGATTAAGAAACCCGATTTAGACCCGAACCGGCCCAGTTACCAGACCTAACATATTAGGGTTTCTAAACCCTAATTCAGTCATCGCCGTCTCTTGGTTTTCCAATTTCCACCCGTGTGTGCACATCAACCGCCACCGTCGAATCTGTAATTCCCATGGCCAGGGCCGGTCCAATGAGTTTTAATGCCATGTGCGAGATAATAATTTTATGCCCCTATACTTGTACCGTATAATAGACAAACGTTGTGAAGAAGGAAGGTAAGATATGTGAATTTGGGAAAAACGCTAACGATTATTGGGAATTTGAGTTTAGCAAAATTTTCTAACCCTAATAACCAACACATCAAGAGTTTCAGTGAGTATAGACTGCTTGAGGTGGGTAGATAACTCTTCTGGCTTCTATATGCCCAAAGATTTTTGTTTAAAAGTAGCATCGGTTGGAGCTAATGCAGATAGACTGTGGAGGTTAGTTTGGTCAGGTTTGACTCCTCAAAAGGTGTAATCGTTTGTGTGGAGAGCCGTTCAAGAACACATTCATGTCTGGTCTGAGTTGTTGAAGCGTGGTGTAAGTGTGCAAGCATCGGCTATTTGTGTATTATATAAAAACAACCTGAAAATAGTTAAACCTTTATTCTGACACTGTGAAGTTTCATAGAGGATTTGGCAGTTTTGGTACGCGTTTCGGTTTGTTATCTCTGAGTCCCTGGAAAATTTTCTTATCATGTGGGAACAAGTGCCGATCAAATTGTCTCTTCGTACACTCTGACAGCTTGCTTTTTCTGTCAATGCATAAACCATTTGGCTTTTCTGCAATGAAGCAATCTTCAATAATAAACGGTGTGAAGTTTTCCAAGTAATTGACATTGTTGTACTAAGGATTGGCACATGGGCTAAAAGCAATTGGCCGAATTCAATTTTTTCGATTAGTGAGTTCACTAGAAGTCATCCAGCATCTTCACTTCTAAGACATATTTCCAGCACCAGCAGACCCATCTTTGGCTCCTGGTCTGCTCCTCCAGCAAATAAATTCAAAATTAATGTCGATGCAGCCTTTCAAGGATGTGTAGGCAAGGCCGACATTGGGGGTATTCTTCGTGATCTCAACGGTGCGACTCTTATTAGCTTCTCAAGATCGAATGGAGTGTTAAATCCAGCAGAGGAGGAATTGACTGCAATATTAGAAGCATGCCATATTTATTCCTACACAAGGTGGGCTGGTCACAATATTAGAAACTGATGCCCCGACCCTATATGCTGCCATGGGCCGTCGCCCATCAGGCACATGTATTGGGTCGGCCCTGCCCATGGCCGATTCTTTCAAACTGAGATATCAACCGAACCACCGTTGAACCGATCTACACCAAATCAACAACAAACAAAGTCAAAACTTATCCAACCTAACCCCGAAAATCCGAGGATAATCCCACCTAAACCACCAAAACAAATCCTACCCACTACCCATGACCCCAAAATCCACATGCAACGATAAAAAGGAAAAATAGAGGAAGATTCAAAGGGGATTTGGGATGAGAAAAACAAATCCCAAACATCTAGAGAAGGAGGATTCGGGTGAAAAAATTGATAAAATCCTTTAAGAACAAAAAAGAAAAACTAGAGAACATTCGGGAAAAAAATCGAATAAAAGGAGAAAAGAAAAGAGAAAAGAGGAGAAGAAATTTACCTATTTCTCTAAATCTACTCCGATGTAAACCCTATCTTGAAAAGTTGACCCCATATCCATACGAAGGAAAAGGAGACGCGTCAAACGGTGACCATTTCATCCCACATGTCGCCGACGGACGGCGGTCGACGCCGGTCAACAACGGCTGACACGGTGGCTTTTCATCGGATTCTGGAAACATGAGAGCTCCGGT